TTACTGTTTTTTTTTTTCACTCCAATTCTCAACCTTTTAAACACACCAACAGTTTTCACATTTTTAATGTTTAATTTTTCTCCTGATTCTTTACATTCTAGCAAAAATTCTCAAACTTGTTCCCCATCTCAGTATTACTCATTTAAAATTGTTGAGTTGACTGTGGTTTTTATTTTGCTGTTTATAATGCAAATTTTAACTTTTTGTAATTGGATTTTCCAGTGTCTTTATTATCTTATTTAGCTCCTTTTATTTCTACCTTTCAGCTATAACCTTTATTATTTCAGTCTCTTTCATGTTTTATTTTGTTATCTTAGTTTCTGCCATCCATATTTTTTTGTGTTTTATTTATATAACAGTGAAGGTGCTTTCTGAATTATTTTTCAGAGCGCTTTGGTCTCTGTATTTTTTGCCAGCAAGTATTTTATAGGATTTTATATCTTCTGTTTAATCAAACCTTTGCTTTTAAACTCATTGTGGATAGAGTCTCCTTGTTCTGCTATTTTCCTTAATCCTGTTAGAATCATTCCCTTACATGATGATTGGAGGGTTGTTGTACATGATATGAGCCAACTTCCTGGTATTCTTGAACCTTTCATTAAGTGGACCTATAAGCCTGCATTGATTTCTCCTGGTTTTGCTATTTGATATGGTCTTGGGAGAAGCAGAGTTTATTCCTGGATAATCTGAAGCATGCTGTGGTTCTTCCCTCATCTCTCTCACGTGTCTTCTAGGATTCTTCTTCTTCTGAATTCACTTGCCTTGATATAAAAGGACACCCCTCCACTTCTGCTCCACAGTCTAATTTCATTGCCTGGATTATAATCTCATGACAGCCCTGGATGCTCCAGAGCGTACCTCTCAATAGTGTGTGTACTAGAGTGGGGTCGGGGGTGGGGGTGCAGCACCGTCTTTCCCCCACACTCCCTGGTGGCTTAGGCTATGTTTTTGGTGGGCAGAGAGCCACTACCTATCACATTGTTTCCCCAACTGGGTTTTCCCCAGGCCTTCATCTGAGCTTTGCCTAGTGGGTATTCTGGTGGCAGGAGAATATTGACTGAGAGTCTAATTTTCTGCACTGTTACAAATTTGTGTTCCTTTTTTGTGTGTTTGGTAAAGGACTGTGATGGTAAAGGACTGCAAATTCAGCATCACTGTTTCTTCATCTTGTCACCTTTTCTCTTTTTCCCCCCTTTTTAAACCATATTTAAAGCAAACTTAGTAAAACAGGGAACACAACGAAGGTTTGTAGGGCAGTGCTGTAAAGCACAGAATTATAGTAACGTGCTTCACCTACTTACCTTTGATCCAGCCATGAACTCTATTCTTCCTTATTCTGGGACCTTGCATGTCTGCATTTCTTTTTTCTATGCCCCGTATTTCCCATACCTTTTCATAGAGTGGTATAAATAAAAGCAATCAATGTCTTCTTTCTGAAGAAATCAAAATTCTTTATGATGATTTCTAAGACCTAAAGGCTTACATAGGGTTAAGTGGAAACAGCCCAGACTTTGAATACTGTAGCCTACTGGAGTAGGGGAACCATGAGAAGAACAAACTTTCAATTTTGCCTACCTGTAAAAGGGAGCAGACAAAGGACAGCAGGACCAGGAGATGATAGACTGCTGGGGAAGAGGTTTGATCATTCTGGGAGCTAGTGATATGGCAACTAATCACAATCCTGAGTCCTCAGAGAAGAGACACACAGATGGAAGCTCACCTCCTCCTCTGCTCTGGCCACCATAACCTTTTCCTGTTGGGATGCTTCAGGCAGGCTCTAAGACTGAGGTTTGAGCCAGTAAGAGCTTTTGGATCTCAAAACAGAAGGGACTGTTAGAGATAGGATACGCACATAAAAAGCTGGCATTAGTAGTTGACTCTACCTTTTAATGTATGTCTGGTTTTTTTTTCTTTGAATTCTTTTTAACATGTGCATATATTATGCTCTCACTTAAAAAGAGAAAAACACTAATTTGCATACACTATGATGTCTTATTAGGAAATTTAAGAGTATGTAGGTAACTTTCCTAATAATTTCCTCCAAAATGTCCTTCACTTTGTCTGCAGCACAGTGATAGATTAGATGGCTCTTGGGACTGATCCAGTGTGACTTTTCTAAGGTGTTCTCCTGTTATAACCACTGCTTCCAGCCTGTATCTTCTAAAATTTTCTGAATTCCTGTGATAGTAGGTTCAAGAGGAAATAACATTCATTCTGCTTTCCCCACATGATGCCTTTTGTACCTTGAACTGCTCATCTACTTTAGATCTGTTTTACTAAGCACCAGTGGTCAAGTGACATGATGGAGAGAAATGTACTGAGTTCTAAAGAAGAGTGTAAGTGATGTCTCTGCAGCATATTCAGATGCCATCAGGAAGCTTCTGTAAGTGAGGGGAGCATCAGGAGGGAGGTGTGGAAGTTGGCAGTACTTTCTGAAAATGGTGTAGTTTGGGAGGCTACTTTCAACTTAGTTTGGATTTTAAATGAATTAAAATGGGCATGCTCAAGTTATGAGCCTTGCCTCATCAGTGCTATAAAAAGCCCTTTAGCCGGGCTGTAATTTGACTCTCCTCTCTAATGTTATGCAATATTCCTATGGTTACAGAGCCCGAATAAGTGGAAGCTAATCATTAGTTTGCTAAATGTGGTTCATGGAACAGTTCACAACTCCCAGACTTGCCAACTGCTGCCTGTTCAGTTTTAGGTTCACTCTTCTTGGGTAGAAGTTGGTTTCTTCCTTAGAAAAATGTACAGTAACATTTGTCTCACATCCAGGAGCCATGCAGGATGGCAGCTCTCCATGTGTCTTGGGATGGGGAGGGAAAGAGGTCATGCAAAGTGAAGGTTTTTGATACGTACTCTTTCGCAGGAAAAAGCCACCCGGGGAGTGCAAGAGGACAAAGAAAGACACAAATTAAAGTGGCAGGCATTTTGGTTACCAGGAAAATCACATTTTGTGAGCTTTTCAGAAATTTGCTGTGTTAGAACTCTATGGAATTTACTGTTCTGTGGCCCCAGGATTAAAATTATGCTCTTTAACTTCTTCCTTGTTTGTTTCATGTGACAAGAAAGACTTCGTTTTATTGCTTAGGGTCACCTGCAACCATCATACAGGTCAGGTACTGTGCCTTTGGGAGCCACACGTTTCATGAGCTGGTGCTCTTTCCTCTCCCATATCCCAATATGTGTCAGGGGAACACACAGAGAGCAGTAGGTACCAGTTGGATTTTTGCCTCTACCTGTTGATTATAGGCTAAATCCTGAAGCCATTCATGAGTGTTTGGCCTCTTTCTCTTTGGATGAAGGTGGTTTCTTTCCCAGTAAATAGAAAATGTCTTGTGCCTACCTGTGACTCATTCTCCTTTTCTAGCTGAAAGGCTGTTGGCCCTGAAAGGCTGTTGGACCTGCTTTCTTCATTGATGCCCCAGAATTATCCTTGGAGACTGTTCAGAAAGATGCAGTCTGGTGGCTGCCTCCCTTTTCCTGGTGCATCATTTAGATCTCTTTGCATTGTAAAAAGACAGAAACCCGACCTCACCTGGCTTAAGAGGAAAAAGGAATTTACTGGCTTGCATGATAAGAAGGAGAGGCAAATACAAGGTTCAGGATCCACTATTTCTGCTTATCTCATCTCTGGATTTGTCAGACTTTCAGGCTCTGTGTGGTGGCACCTGGTAGTTACATAACCTCCCAATGCAAGCCCAGCAAACAGCAAATATCTGTTCCTGACTCCTGGAAAAGTTGGGAAAGTTACTCTGATTGGGCAGCCTTACGTCCTGGGCAATCTCTCATCCAGTCGTGGAGTCTAGAGAGAGATTATGCTTTTGGCCAGTTTTTCCTGAAGCTCATTCTTCACCCCTGGAAAAAGTAAGAAAAGGGTTGTTCTCCTACTCAAAATGAAGTGCTTTGCAGGAAAAAAATGGACCGAGAGCTGGCGGGCAAAGAACTAGTCTTTAATCAGTTTAAGAGAGTTGAACTCTCCCTCCTATGCACTGAAAGACTCTTCGACCCTCCCACCGGTACATGTGTGACCTGGCCTGCCTCACCAGGGACAGGATGGGGATCTGTGAAGCCATTACACTCCCCAGTCTCTGCCTCTTATTCTCACCTCCTTGTGTGCTACTCGGGAAGACTACGGGAATCACCTCTTCTAGTTCTTTTATCATACATGCTTGTTTAAAATATACTGACTTGTTTCAAAGTCAATACAAGAAGAGACAAAATAAATTATCAGGAGCAGATATAGTTATGGTGGTTCCCATTGCACATTTGAGCTTAAGAAATATGAAAGTAATGGAATAAAATCATAGTTTAGAAAATATAAAAACCACAGTCCACCACTTTGACCCAACCACTAATTTAGAGTATTTCCTTTCAGCCTTATTCATATAAAAAGTTTATAGAAAAAGTTTCTCACAAACGTATCTTGATTTTTTATTTGACATTATATAATACAGGCATTTTCCATGTTGCTTTGCAGTTATCGTTGTCATAGAAATTGGCAAGGTAATATTTCATCAGGTAGACATACTGTAATTCACTTACCCATTCTATCACTGGACATTTAGGTTGTCTCCTTTTTTTGTTTTTTTCTGCTGTTATAAAGAAGAGTGTATGCTGAACATTTCTGGGGTCTGTAACTTTTCTCATGCCTTATCTTATTTTCTGAGGACAGATTGGGGGAAATGGGATTACTGGTTGGAAGGATGTAAACATTTTTAAGACTTCGATACATATTGCCAAATTGCTTCTCAAAACAGTTGCGTTTATCTCTCCTGCTGCCAGCAGGATAGGAGAGGACAGTTTCACTCATTCTTACCAGCAAATAGATATTGGGATTTTTAAACATTTTCCTAATTTCATAGATAAAAAATAATACTTATCGTTTTTGTTTTACTTTGCATTTCTCTATTACTAGCAAGATTGGATGCCTTTATGTGTGCTTATTTATTAGTTCCATTTTATGCTCTGCTTTATGCATTGTCTTTTCTTCATTGTAGACCCCAAGACTGCTTCTGAGACGGAAACAGATATCTGTGCTGAATGGGAGATAAAGACCATCACTAGTGCTCTGAAGACCTACCTAAGGTAGGGACTTTCCATTTGCAAGGCAGAGTGCCAGCTAGTTATCATGCAATCAGGAAGAAAGCAGTTTTATTTTCAGACTCCGGAGAGCTGTCGGGTGGGTGTTTGAGATGTGGAAACAGCTTCTGTGTGGGTGCATTTAGCTCAGCTGGTCAAACCAATTGTAAATCATCCATAGTTGATGGGTCGCCTTTGTGCCGTGACACCGTTAGTGATTTAGGAAACTTGGTTCTATATGAGAGGTATAGTGATAATTAGCCTTGAACAGAACCTAAAATGGGGTCTTCCCTGAAGTCCCTGAATAATCATGCTAAGAACACAAGGAATCATGGGTTTCTGTTAAGCATGCATGATTGCATACCCTGTGTATTTTGATAGTTTCACACTTTACACAGAGTACATTGCTGACAATGGTTCTTAAAAACGAGAACTTAATGGAGCTCCTTTTTTGACTCTTTCCACATGTATTGGACAATATTATCTCCCTGGAGAGACTATTTTCCTTGTATCACTTATATATGATATTACTGCAACCTCTCTACACCTCCTTTCATTATTAAGGGTTGGGTTATTGACCAGCTGCCTGCATCTCAGTTTCATGAATAAACCAAAATTCCTATACCGGACTTAGAGGACAGCAATACCATAGTTCTTCTTACAGAAAGGTGGGACCTAGTCTTCAAAAGAGAGGAGAATGGTAATCAGAAATTGCATAAGTCTTTGTGTGGGTTTTTTGAAGATGCAATTGGCTGAAAAGCAAAGGAGGGAGGCCACAGAAAAGGAATTGCTGACGTAGGTTTTATTGGCAATGGGGTAATTGGAGTCAGGAGTGAGATACAATGTTAAGTGTTAGCTAAAACTGGGAGTGGAATTAAGGGACCTAGTGAGAATAGAATCTGAGCCAAGAATAATGTATAGTCTACTGAGAAGTTTCTTATTTGAACTATCAGAAAAAAACCTCAAGTTTATAGTTAAACATACTCATACCCCAGCATGTAAAATTTGCTTATATCATACCTAATGTTAGGGGTTCTAGCCCTTTAGCATTCTGGAGCAATACTCCATAATGAATTCACCACCAAAGCACCTGCAAAAGTCTTTTATAGCAACAAGCCACTGGGAAGATGAGAGTTTGAGCACAAGCACTTGCAAATATGTAGTTAGTTGCCTGTTTCTCAGACATATCTTAAAACGCTGTTGTTGATAGGTGAGTCACTGACTGAAAAGGAAATCTCTTAGTCTGTGTTAGACTCTTGCATTAGCACTATTTTAGTGTTAACAGTGAAACATAGTTGTATCCATTCCTTTAAAAAAGAGAGAATAAAACTTGTGGGTGAAATCTCAGAACCCCTGCCATAGGGAAACTAAATTAAGTTGTTATCGTTTCCTTGTGATGTTTGTCTTTGAGAAATGTAATATAGTTTGTCAGTCTCTAGGCTGCTATTTAGAGAGAATATGATAATTTTTATTATTAAGCTGACTAGCCTATCTCCTTTTACTCCAGAATGCTTCCCGGACCGCTCATGATGTACCAGTTTCAAAGAAGTTTCATCAAAGCAGCAAGTAAGACTTTTTTTGTCTCAGTTTTAAGAGGAGGAGAATAGATTTTTCTATTTCGAAGAAGAGTCAGTATCCCAAAATAAATATTACCTAATCCTTCATGTTCTGCATGTAAACTGGCCACATAACAGGCTCATGAGATTATAACATGGAAGAAAAATGAAACCAAATAGGGATTGCTAAGGGCCTTTCAACCACATCGAATTTACAGTAGAGGAGAGAAACTTCAGAAGTCTTTTTTTTTTTTTTTTTTTTTTTTTTTTGGAGGGGAGGAGGATGTTGGAGGGATAGAGAAAAACAAGTTTGCCTTTCTAGTTTTGATTATTGGAGTTCTAACTTCTTAGGTTTTTTCCAGCCTTTGAGTAGCATTTTGCAGAATGAATCAGACATTGCACATTACCTAAATTGAGCATTGGAAATGTTTTCCTGAATATGACACCGTTTATGTAACTTCACAGTCCTCTTTTCCATTATGTCTTCCATTTACAGCTTCTGATCATTCTTCAACTATATCATCCAGGTTCCCTAGCGTCATATTACTGGTATTAAAATACATAGGGATTAGGTCCAAGCTACTCTAAGTAAACTAGAATCTCTGGCTACGTGGGTCAGGCCTCTTGTAAAGGGGCAGAAAGATTTTCTATCAGATTTAAGTCCGGCATGAATCTTCACAGTATTATTATGTCAGTAACTTCTGCCTGTCCCGGGTTCCTTTTAGGCTTTAGAATTTATTTACCCTGGTAGCTACGACTGGCCTAATTTAGTAGGTACCTAATGTTCTGGTGTCCTTATCTACTCATAGTTGTCCGCTTAAAACAGGAAAGAGAAAGCTGCGAGTGAAGATGGTGTTTATGGCATTTCTTTCTCGAGAAATTACAAACCTATAGCAACCATTCTCTACTTAAACCTCTTATCAGTCCTATAAATAGGTGTGATGAGTACCCTCAATCTGTTTGCCTGAGAAACAAAGCCACTTACCCAGGTTCAACCAAGAGAATGTGACAAGCCATGATTTGGTTACAAGTTGGCAGAAAGACTTGAACATTTTATCTGCCATTACTTTCTCTCTAGCCAGGCTGGTTGTCATACGTGATTGGAGGATACTGGACATTTCCTTTGATTTCCTTGATGCTGCTTGAGGTGTTATTTTGATATTTGAAACCCTTGCAATGTTGTTCACATAATATTTGTTTATCACTTTACAAGTGCATAAAGTTCCTTACTTCCTTGAAATGAAGTCTTCACTCAAGGGAGCCAGCTACTCTGGAGTTCATTCTCAGGAGCAGCTCTGGGTTTGCAGTTGACTGGCTCCATTTCATCACATCATCATCTTGGCTTGGATTTTTTGATGACAGTTCTTTTTGGCAACCCTCTTCCAGAAAGTACCATTAAAAGGACTTCTAGATCTAGTCATGCTGGCCACGCAGAGTACACACAAGACAGGATTGTAAATCTTTCAGAAATCCTTGGTCTGTTAGTGCCCATCCTTTGGTTTCCCTTGATTTTTCATCCTTAAAGTTGTTTAGCTGTGACATTGATAAAATATTACCTCCCTCCTTCCTTCACAGAACTAGAGAACCAGGAGTCTCGGGTCTCTGAAATCCACAGCCTTGTTCATCGGCTCCCCGAGAAAAATCGGCAGATGTTACAGCTGCTCATGAACCACTTGGCAAAGTAGGTTTAAGACCAATTACTAGCCCTTTTCTTATCCCTGAAAGTTCTTATCTTAGCAGTGAAGCTGGTCTCAGTTCTGCTTTTGTTTCTCCCTCCCACTATTGCATCAGGTATGCTGGAGGCTTAGGAAAGAAATGTGTGAAATGTTAATTGCAGTGGTGAACAGCAGCAAATGCCAGACGGCCTTCCCATGCCAGAGGAGGCTGAGGAAGTGTTCATGCAACCAAGCCACCAAGCACAATTTTCAGGGAGATTTGGCCCTGTGATGATCAAGGACAAACTAGAGTGTGTTGTCCATAATGCCAGGTCACCACACAGAGTTTCGGGGGATTATATGTTCTTATGCTCATCAGGAAAACACAAATATGTTGTGGGTTTACAGAATTTGGATTTTTAGTAAGGAGGCCTGGATTCTAGAGCTGACTCCATTATTAACATGTTGCTTAACCAGCCCTGAACAAACTACTGAACTTTCTACTCCTTAGTTTCCCTATCTAATATGGATAATAGGCTCACTTTTTTCTACAAGGCCATTGATTTTTAAAGTTACATGCATTAAAGCCTTTGAAGAAGTATAAAGAATAAAGGAATTATTTTTGGCAAATACTCACTTGTCCTCTGAGATAATCAAAGCATTCAGTAGGGGCCTGATTTTCTGCTGGGAGTATTTACAGTCTCATAATGTCTTCGAATATTTGTGTATTTACTGTTGCTTGACCCTGTTACGAATGGCATTGCTGACTTCCCATGCTGTGTTTGTCACCACCTGTGTGTGCGTTCTAACCTGCCATTGACTTTGATGGTATGTTCTTGATTGCAGACTGGAGCACACGAAAAGAATGAGAGCATACCAGTTAACCTAAATTATTAATCCCTACATTCTACTGAACTGATGTGTTATAAATTTGGCCCTTATCCACATTTTGCTATGCTATTAGGGTATTTCTTGGGGGTAAGTTGATATTCTCCTGAGGGAGATTGTGATGGTTAGTTTTCATCTTTCTGTCAAGCACTTGATACTACCTTTGGGAAAAAGAGTGATATATATCATGAAGATTTCCACCATTTCCTCATTTCCATGAAGAAGCAAGAGTGTTTTGTGTGCTATTGGGTAGCAATTCGGCAAAGCCACAGTTACTCCATTATTGACCAATTTTTTTTCTTGCCTCGCCATATTAGAGCTGTGTGTTCAGGAATACTTAGAAAGCATAGCAGGTAATACACAAGTTTACTGGAGAATGCCCCGAAGATGTCAAAGAATCCTGATGAAGCGTGTTTAAAATAATGGGAACTGGGCTTTATAAAGTAACTCCAGATGCTCTGAGATGACAGTTTGGTACCAGTTCCACACAACCCAGAGTTGGGCATTTATTAAGCAGAGAAGCTGGTTTAGATCTTAGTTGCAAAACTTTGCACACTTGAAGGGCAAACACCAAGACACAGGAGGTTCCAAGTGTACCCTCCAGCCTGGTATGTGTGGGGGTGCTCATGACTGCTTCAGGGCCACTGGGTCTTAAAGAGGTCTTCAGGCCTGCAGAGAGCAGCTGGAGAAGGTGAGGAACCATCTAAAAGCCATGGGCCTCTTCAAGCTGTGCAATTAGAAAGAGAGCTTAATTGAACTGAGACAGACCAAAAGTGAATGGTGGCCCAGCAGAGCCAGTGTTGCATTTTTCCTATTTTTAAATTTCCTTTAGGATTGTTTGGATTCTTTGAAGAAGAAGAAAAAAAGCATCAAAACAAAACCTTTAAGGTAGATGTTGAACAGTTGAACTTGTTCATCTCGTGGTGCATGGCTCACTTTCGCTTTCTTTTTCCACCCTTTGCCCCTCCAGTCCCTTTACTTTCAGTCCATCCTTGTTACTGACCTAAGAGTTGTAAACTGGAATTTGCAAATTACAGCTGTGACCTTGACACTTTTTTCCTTTTTTTTTTTTTTTTTTTTTTTGGCTTTCTAGCCAATTTAAAGCAGTTTTATTGCTGGAGTTGTTTACTTCATAGCAATTCTCGAGCATTATGTGTTATCTTTGAAACTTGAGAATGATTTTCTGTGGTTGTATGGCATTTCTTGTTCATTTAATTATCAAGAAATCTGCCTGTAGACAACCTCTCATGCTGTAATGTGAGTTGGTTAGAGCTAGTAATAGACTATAGCAGACTCAAATGCTTAGCGTGCTGTGTTCTTGGTCTCCCGAACCTCTATATTTAAAATGTCCCTGCGGAGAAGGATATGAATGAGCAGTGTTGAATCCAGTAAAGAGTATTTATTTAGGTCTGAAAAAATTATTTGGCATCCAGAGGAGTTCTAAGATTCCACTTAAACTTTATATTCTCATTTACAGCACTGTCCTTATTTTAAAATCAAGCAGTAAGAGAAAGTTAACTTGGGACAACAGGTTTGTCTAATTCCAGTTTTCTCAGGTTTGGACTTACCCTAGGATACGCCTGAGCTATTGTTCCTCTGGGCCACTTACTTAATGGTCAGCTTCCTTCCTAAGTTTTGGTTTCAGGGCTGATTCTGCTGGAAAATCTGGTGTTTACTTCTCTCATTACCCACTGTTTTGCCTTGTGCATCTCAGAATTCTGGTTCAAAGGCAAGACATTTTGTATTGTATATTTTTTAAAGTACTCTTTTGAAACATTTTCCAAAATTGATTTCCCTTAGCCACAGAGGGAGAATTAAGGCATTTTATATTTAATCCCAGCTAAAAATTCATTCAGAGGGAAAAAGAGTCTTGGGTAGGGGGAAGGATAAAACCTTCCAAACCTCTAAAGCAAATGATTACCAGGGTACATTCAAATCGTAGAGATGTTGGATTTGTTTCAGACCTCAGAGGGAACAGAAAAATTATAGGCAACCATGCACATATTTTTATAGTTTCGGCTTAAATGTACTATGATAATTAGATGTTTTCTGTTTGGATCTTGGAATCTAGTACACAGTCTGGAGTCATGTGCCTCAAAGCATGGTTAGAATCACCTGGGGTGCTTGTTTACATTGACATTTCTGGGCTCTGTGGGTCTACTCAGGCTCTCTGCCTGGGAATCTGCATTTCTGATTTATTTCCCAGGTAATTATTGTGAGAGCAGTGTTTTAAAAACCACTGGCTCAGAGAATGGGCCATATGCAAGGATTTCCTAGGAGAGAGAAATGGTTTTGAGAAGAATGTGGATTGGGATGTAGGTAAATATTAGAATTAGAAAGAAGAAGCTCAAAGCAGTGAGTTCGAAAGGGAGATTTTATTGTCATGATTAAATGAGCTTTTAAGAAATCCAGTTTTGACTTTCCAAGTCTTTGCGATTTGACTTTGCATTGAGTTTTCAACAAATGTTTTGTTTTAAAGTCATGCAAAAGGCATTTTTACTTATGAAAAGCATCATCCTCAGCTAGCCATGGGTCCTTGAACCAATTTTTCTACCTCTTTGAGCCTCAATTTTCTTTCTCCTCCAATTGTATAATTCTGTTTTCATCAGATGGAGCAGGGCACAAGAAAAGTATCCCACTCTTATAATCGTAGGAGGAAATAAGAGTAGATGAGTAATAAAGACTAATTTCATGGTAGTTTCCTAATGTTTACATATTATGACTTTTGTATATCCCCACACATACCATTCCTAGTGGCTCATTGTAGCTTCATTACAGTGTTTATGCAGTGAGGAAGGATTTCAAAGAACTCTCCATACATCAGGAGTAGATATTAAAAATATCTTTTCACAGCTGGTTTTCCCAAAATACTTATTGAGAAATAAACCTTAGTCTCTTTTCTTTTTTGGATCAACTGTTCCTTTGTTGCAGGGTTGTTGGAGAGGCAGAGCACTATCTTGCTTCCCCAGAGAGATATGGTATCATTTAGGTTGCTTTGAGCTGCAAATGAAAGAAAAGCCCATTCAAAATGGCTTAAACAATAAGAAGACCTGTTGTGTCATGACACAGAATCCATCCTGAGAGTTGGTTAGCTTCTCAGCTCATGAAGGAGTCGGGTTATTTCCACGTTCCTGCTCAGCCAGTGTCTTGTGTTGACTAGCTCCCCGCAGAGTCCCGACATACTGCACTGTGTCCTTGCATGTTAGTGCTTGTCCAGAGGGAGAAAAGGTGCTATTTCTTCTTTGAGTCTCTTTTTGAGGGCTAGGATGATACTTTTCCCAGACATTCTCCAGCACACTTTATGTCACATCTCATTGGTCCACAGCAGTCACTGGGGACCACCACGATTATTTTCCACCCATCAGGATTTATCTTAGCCACTTGTGGGAGGCTTGGACATCAGAATAAAGACAGAGCTTTGAGTAGCCAGCCCACAGTGTCCACTGCAAGTAGTCTTGGTAAATCACATTTAACAGAGAGTATTAAGTCTTATTGCATGGTGTGCTAACTCAATCAAGACATATGAGACAGAAAGACCAATTTGGGGAGGAGAGTTGAGTACATCTGCAGTGTGGGCACATAAGCACTAACTTACAAGATTTTAGGGGGTGGAAGGTAAGAGAGGGTAACGAAGAGGGCAAAACTGACTTTACTCCATTGCCTCTTACTGATTCCCTATTTGTTCTTTTCATTACCCAACTGTCTAATGTTTATTTTGATCATCTGTTACATGTTGTGACTTTCCAAAATGGAAAAAATTCTGTAGATCACTGAGATTATGAAGGAATATTGTGGAGAAAATGCTTGGCATACAAGTGATACCTTATCAAAATGTGTAGACTCTGTTGGCAGAAATTATCAAGGACTGAGCATGTCGTAGCTTGGGTTTTGTTGTTGTTGTTGTGGTTCTTGTTGTTGTTGTTGTTGTTGTTGTTTTCATTTCTGTGACTAGAGTCTGAGTACTTCCAGGCATTCCTGCAAATCAAAAAGGATATATTCATATTTCTTTAAGCGATCTAGAAACAGTGAATTAGGTTCATGTACAAATGCTTGTGGTTATAAAGAAAGTCATTGCCAAGCATTGACACCAAAGAAGATGAGCCCAGTGGTTCAGTAGCATTCCCTGAAGTTCTTAAGA